CCCGCTTCATATTTTACTTCGCAAACTGAGCAATACGAGCGTCAGGTACGGTCGTCCATTTGGTCGATATGTTGCAGCTTGAAAGGGCCTTATAAGGGTACCGCTACGCAGCGCCTACTCAGGGGCGCGGGATTCCGTCGTGCTGGGCGTGCTAATCCTATACTCGTCTTAGGGATTTATCGTGCCGACTGTCTCGAAGGGGATTTGTTGCGGCTCCAGCTTGTTCTCGACCAATTGTGATCACCTGTGCCGCCTCTCACAACTGTTGGTGAACATGCAGGTGCCACGCTGAGCCCTTTCCCCCTGAAAAGCCCCAGGCGGCCACAACGAACAAGGCTGCAGCTTCGCTCATGGTTCGATTCTTGAGCAGACGTTTGATTTTTTTACAATTCTATAATCGAGCTAAGACTATATCCGTCGCCGTAAACAAATTTGAAGGAAGCATGATTATTCATCCTTTACTTTTTAACCACTTGATTTAAAAATTCAGAAAATTCTTGAGCAAAATAAAAGAAACCCACATGAAGCAGGAATCGCACCACTTGTGCCCTCCCATAGCCAGAAGCCTCGTGAAGGGCTGTGCCAAGTACGGTCGTGCGATTCACGTCCCATCCGTTTTCCAGTAAACGACAAACGATCTGAACGGATTTCAATGAATGAGGGTAAACCCAAGTTACCGAGCTCCGATATTTCAAAATTCTTTGGAAAACTAGGTTTCTAAGCAGAACATTAGGACGGTTGAAGCGGAGGTAGTGTCAATGGCAGGTGGGACCGCTTGCTTCGCTTACATCCCTAGAGTCAAATCGTCAAAGGTATCCCGAGCAGGCTCACTAAACGCTTTGGTCCCCCTTGTCAGTTATCTTGTACCACAGTCATCAGAAGGAAACATTGAAGTCTACTGGCCCGCAAAAGGTGTGAACCGAATCGCATGGAATTTTGTTGCTACGGTTTTAGGTTGGAACTGAAGTTATGGCACATCCCAAAAGGGTTGCTCAGCACCGAATTCTTCATCCTTTTCAGATGGGAGATCATTTTCCGAATTTAGTAAGTTACAGACCAGGCTTATTAATGAGATTCTTTCAGGGTGAAAAGAGTGTAATGCAAAATGAGATGACGGGTGATCGATTGGGATAGATCAGAATCGTTGATGAATTTTGGAAAATACAAGGAACATTCACGAAATCGCTAGTGAATTTTTATCCTGGTGAAATTCACGTCAACTCCAAATTGTTCAGCTGTTTTCTCAGTTGTCAGGGTCGGAACACGAAAGGTCGATGGTTCGACATTATTCAAAATTTGTTTTTTTTCTTTAAAATACGGTTTGTCAACGATTGGGCCGCTCACTATAATAGGCATAGGCGACTGTACTACTTGACTTTACTCGCTTATTCCTGATCCTAACAATTTTTAGTTCGAGATCTGGCTGCATTTCAAAAGGCGAACGAACGTTAGTGACGAAAAACGAACAGTGAGTCAGAATTTTTCTCGTGCTTTAATGATATCATCTATTGTTGAAGGTCCCCGTGATACGGCGGGGCTCTATCCACTTATAAAAACGATCAGCCGACCTTTCCAGTGGCACAGCCCTCCATAGAGCCGTTCAAATGGGAAACGCCGTCATGGCACGGAACCTTCTTAGCAACAAATCTGTATGGATCGACGAAGAAGATGGTCGAGGTAAGATATGGAATTACCTTTTTCTGGAGTATAAGCCGCATCCTTGTATAAGGCGCACCTTCGCTTTGAATGCTGCGAATGTTTCTTCCTCACTTTAC